CATGCTTATAGTGCTTTACAATACTGTTCTGAGCAGCCAAAACTGTGTCAGGTCTGCTGTCAACAGAAGAAATCAGAAAACTGGGTCAGGTTCTTGATGGTTGTTCCAGGCCTGGCTTCGTCATTTAAAGTCCTTCAGAGTCCTGATGGCTAGTTCAATTATTATGCCTGCACATGGTAACTTTGATGTTATATGTTGTGTTATAAAAACAAAATATCCCCTAAAACATTCATTGCAGATGATTGGACACAAATGTGGTCCCCTGCAAGACAATCAGTAGGCTGCACATTGATCTATCACCCCTCCCTTCACACGCTGACTTTCTGCCTCCCTACAAGGAAGGACTTCTAAGGGGCCATTCACATGTTGCGTTGGAAAACACCTGGAAAACGCCAGCCACACAGCTTTCGTCCTTTTAACCAAGGTGCTTGGGAGGATGCACTACTATCACGCCAGTCGTTACTAAGCAAAAGTCACAACAAAGACACATGGATTACTAGCAGCATAAATCCCTTGCTTGATTTATGTAGACAAAAGAAAAAAAGCATCTTCAGTTTAGCTGATCTTTCAACCCGATGTTGTTACATCCTTGCTCAGCATGTCCTATGGAGGCAATTGGTATATCCTTGTTACATTACCTGTTGTGCGCTTGCTGCGTTCTAAAAAGTTAAGACTTTTCCATATCAGTGCGCCATGGACAATTCCAAAAAACAGGGTTAACTGTTAGGGTTAAATCACTTAGCAACAAGGTGGATTGTACAGTTAAATGGCAATGGATAAGAGTCATTCAGAAAAAATCTAAACTTGGATTATACTCCAAAGTCTGTCTATATAGTCAGTACTGTTTGGGGCAAATAACACTCCAGCAGTCAAATTCTAGTGAATAATGCAAGGCAAATTTCTGCATCCCATTTAGTCTGATAAATGAATAATTAATTAATTTTTAAGTTACATTTTGATATAACTAACTATAATATCATCAGTGCCTGACTATGGACTTTGTTTAAATTAAAATGTTTGCAAATGCCATTGGATTTTATCACAGATTATCTCTTATGTACTATGTATGTAGTATGGAATACAAATTAATAATTAAATAATTACAACTAAAATTACCATCAATAGCTAGTAAGTTGAAAGATTTGAAGCTCAACATGGAAGAGGTTGGAAGAGGTGAAGGCCCACTGTTGCAATTTTGTAACTTTTTCACATCCTCCAGGAACCAAAAAAAACCCAAATAAATTGTTTTCTTAATCAGAGTAACTGTTTTAAAAGCATAAAAAAAAATCCACATCAATAAAATCAATGCTTGGGTTGACCAGTCTAACATGTCTGACATCTGACATCACCAACCTCAGGGGTGTGAGCACACACTGAACTACCATTACACAAGGCCCCTAGGACTCTGTACCACAATAATAGTGGTATATAAATGCAGACTGTTTCTAAGCCATGTCCATGCTACACATCAGTGCAAAGCACCTGAGCAACTAGTGGGTAAAACATGTCTTCCTGGAGGACAGTCAGAAAAAAAACATTTACAGTGAGAGAAAGATGCAATGTACCGTATGTGCCATGAAGTACTGACCCACCAGATGTGTGTTTTTACATTCTCATCTTTTCCACTTTTATGCACAACAGACTTTTTCTGTAGAGTGAAAGACATGAAGCTTTGAGTTGCACATAAAACTGAAGAGCTACTGAACCTTAGACAAGTTTCCTGTGCCTGCTAAAACTACATCTTCATAAATATGAATACTTATGGAATATAACTGTTTAATGTGGATACACTTAAATCAGAAAACTGTGTGTCATACAATAGTTCTTGAAAGGGCTTAGAAAGAAAGAAGCTGGAAAAGTTCACACTCTGGGCAAGGTTTAATACAAGCACCTCTGGCTCTAAGATAACTCCGGCCCTATTTTATCCTGACATTGCAGTTTTAATTTATACATGAAAATATAATTTTGTAAAAACCCAAGACCTTACACAGGTGTTAGCAGAATTAAGCAAAGCATTGAGATCAGATCTACCCGTACTATCTCCCTAGGCTTCATGGACATTTGCATGTTCATTACAGCTCCAATGCCAGGTAAAAATTTGAGTTGAGTTGAACTATTTTAGCACAAAGGTGCCTTTGAGAAACAAGTTCTTAGACAATAATATCAGATACATTACAATCTAACATCATTACACTGAAGAGTATTACAGTGGCTTACATGTAGTATCTCACACCTATCCGACCACGGTAAGCTTTTCTCAGTCTTTTAACCCCGAGGGACAGAAAACTGCAGCCCTGTCTTCACCTTTAGACTGACGAATAATACTATTATGGCTATCATTTATGATAAAAAAAACAAAGATTTGTCATTTTGCTGTAAACTTGACTGATTTACAGTTTAGCATGGGGTTTCATACCTCAAGCTTAATGGAGTGATAATTTTTGATTGTTTCATGACATCAGTTGAAAAAAACGTAGTCATCGGGTAAGTGAAGTGACCGGATGTTAAAACCAGTCTTTCCTTACTGACCCAATGTTTTGCTTTTGGCAGAACATCAAACCTGTAGAGCATGTCTAGCCAATGACCCCATGCCCTAAATTGTCATTCCTGGTGAGATTGGACCAATGGCATTGTCCGTAAATGGATGTATTTTAAAACATTATGATTCTCAGATAGTGAGTGAGGAGCAAATCTAATACATAAGGAGACAGATCTGGATGCTTAGTTGAGTGAGTGAAGCTAACTATATATATTAGCAGTTTCTGGCCTCTCAGAGTAACAGTGCAAATCTGATCAAAATGAATTGCAAGCCAGGTGGCAAACTGTATTATTTATGGCACAGTTTGATATTTTGGGAAATTGTTTATAAAAACCATGCCCAGGTGAGAAGACAGATTGAGAATTGTTGTGTACTTTTTCCATTTTTGTGGGAGCTAGGCTAGCAGTTTCCTCCAGCTTCCACTCTTTATGCTAAGCTAGGCCACACACCATTAACGGACCCAAACTGATTAAACTGATACCAGTCTTTTTTCATCAGTCTCTGGGTGGCAAATGGAAACAAAAATAAATCCCAAAATGTTTCTGATCCTAGTACTTGCACTCTGAGGTTAAACACTGGCCCACTAACTTTACATCTTCCCTCTACTGTCCTGAATCATACATTACAATCAAATGACCATCTAAAAGTACAATGAGTAGAAATTATTTAAATGTAGATTATGTTGAAAAGACATTCTATGAATGGATAAAGTAAATAATAACTGTAATTACAAACGGAAAGAAATATTATCAAAATATCTATTGGTTTTTACTGAACCATATAACAACACATCAAGAAGCTAAAAAAAAATCAACCTTGAGAAAAGGAAATAAGTTAACATATCTCAAGATGTAGAGATTTACAGTATATACATTCTTTTTGAAAGTAACATGATTTTGTTTATTGACTGATAGCTCCGTCGTTATCCTTTCAGTGCTCTTGTGTCTGGAATCTGACATCATAGTGGATCCACTACATCACACTACACAAAAAGGCCTATTTTTAAAGTAACCCTTAAAGTTTACCTTCCAGCCAATTGTTGTCTTTTAATGGTGATCAGTTCTGTTCCTATCCAGTTGCAGATTATTCCAATGGCTTTGGAGCATGGCACGAGTCCACACTTTGATTTAACATTTAAAAAAAAATAAAAAAATATATAGAATATGTATTTTCTTTAAAATGTTTAAGACGTTCTTGTCGAGCTGCAAAGTATACAAAAAACCTTTTTTTCACCATTAATTTTTTGCTTTTTCCTCCAGGGGTAATTTTTTCTGTATAATTTTCATCATTTTATTACTGTTTTTTGAGGGTTTTTGTAATACACAGAGTGCTGAAAGTAGGTTTGTTTGTAAGAAAGGAAGGTTTGTAGCTAGTGTACATTTTTAAGCAGGTAAACAAAAATGCTCTTATTTTAAAAGACTATTTTTTGAGTTCCGAGTGTTTACAAAGAAGTAGGAGGCACTTAGGTCCATCTCTATGGTGACAGACAGTCTGGCCATAATTCCAGGCTCAGGATTGGAAGGTCTGGTCAGGTTCTTGCAGAAGTAAAGAGCTCAGGGGGCTAACATGAGGCCAGGACTAGAAGGTGTATCTATGAAGGTTTTGCAGATGAAAACTATAAAAGCGTGCTGACATTGGACTAGAACTTCAGAACACAATGACTGCTTTCAAGACATATTTGATTTATGCAGACTGTCCTTTCTTGTTGAACAAATTCCTTAATGTTTGATGAATAGTTTCAAAAAATGTAATCTGTCCTACAGATGGTTATGTGAACAGTGCATTTCCTTAACATTAAACCTGAACTGCCCGGTCTCTTATTTTTTGATAGCTCTCTAGAATCTGGTGGTTTACTTTGTCAGCATTGTGGCCTCTTTCTTTAACAATTGTATCATGGCAATGCTTGTTTCAGGAGTAGTTGTGCTAGAAAAGGTTCCACAATGTTTTTTAATAAGAACCACAAGTCAAAGAGTATGATCACCACTTTGGAATGAAAAATTCCATCAGAAGCAGACAACTGTTTCACTCCTGAAACGTAGGTAATTAAAAATAAATAGATTTAATTAACACACATTTAGTACTTCGAAACTGTAGGGAGTCATCATGATGATATTATAAAGATGTTCCAGAATGTTTGCCATGAACACTCTCAAGTTATACATGAGGGACAGTCCAATCTGGTGAAGTAATAATGGCAACTCAAGATGTGTAAAATTCTAGGCAAATAATCCAACTGTTTTACTGAGAGGATGGTTTACTGTGTGATGAACAGGCAGAAATACAACCCAAATCAGGACTAGCAAGTAAGATCACTCTAATTTAGGATTTGAGAAATTAAGATAAATCGAGCCAAACCACATCTAAAATGAAATATTTGTAATTTACTCAAACTAGGCCAGGCTCTACCAGACTAGATCAGGCTTTATCAAGACTTAGGTAGAACCAAAGCTGCACTGATTTAGACAAGGTGAAATGAGGAAATGATGGTACCTAAATTATTAGGATAAGAAACCATACCAGACTAGTACAATCAGGTCAATCCAGTTCAGTCCAGTTTGATAGAATCCATACTTCATAGTCAAGTATTTTTAGCCATGAGTTAATTCAAAAAGGAGCAAGACTGGACCACACAGGACTGGACACAACCATTTAGGTAAGATCCAAGACATTTCCTTTGATTATAATGTGATACAATCCAATGTAATCCCGTTCATTCCAATCCAGTTAAACACTTCACTTAAGACCATTCAATTCAGTCCTTACATGTCAGGCAGTTGGAAGCAAGGTACAGTCCATCCCTAATCCCTCTTCACATGGTTTCATCACTTACTGTGCTGTGAGTCCAGACCAGACTTCCACTTCAAGGTGATCCATTTCCTTTTGATCAAGTGAACTAATTTCTACTCCAGTAATGATCTGGTCCAACCTAAAATACATTCCATTCCTTTCCACTCGTATCCTTTTCTATCCAAGTATATCCAGATAGACTGGTGTGGCTTTCATCAGAGTAAACAGCATCTTCTGGATGTCCTTAATGTTGAGGCGCTGTTGTGGCTCCCTCTGCCAACAGCCCAGCATAATATCGTAGACTTCTTTGGGACAGAGCCTGGGGCGCTCCAGTACCCTGCCTTGAGTAATGCACTCTATCACCTGGGAAGACAGAGACACATGGTTAAACAAGACACAAATACTGCCTTGTGCAAGAAAAGCTTTAGTTATGCAAGTATACATCACATGTAAAGTGCAACACAAAGTGCTGCACCATTTGACAGGTACATGTAGCAGACACTGGAACAACTGAAGAAGTAGTCCTGGTACAGTAGTTAGGATGTCTACAGAGGGAATGGGATAAAACTGCTGCTTTTCTGGAGAGTTGACACATTGATGCTGGGAAATAAGTCTGTAGCAGATCTTGACACACTTACATCTAGTAGCATTGAAATTAACCTAACATACATGTTTTAATGGTTTTGACTCAGTGATTAGCACTGTTGCCTCACAGCAAGAAAGTCCTGGCTTCGATCCCAGGCTGGGGCAGGGCCTTTTACATGTGTGGAGTTTGCATGTTGTGTGGGCCTCCTCCAAGTGCTTCCGTTTCCCCCACCATCAAAACAAAACATGTATGTTAGGTCGATTCTCTAGTCAGTGCTCTTGACCAAGGCACTGGCTCCAGAGTCGGTTCCTCACATGCAGGCTGCCCACTACTTCTGGTACTTACGATGGGTCAAATGAAGAGAATGAATTTCCCTATCGGGATCAATAAAGGATAACTAAGAAAGAACATGTACATTCCCCAGCTGGGAATCCAGGACCTTCTTGCTATGAGGCGAAAGTGCTAACCACTGAGCCACCATGTTGCCCATTTACTCAAATCAATTAAATTTCAGTTTTATTTTTATAGCACCAAATCAAATCAAATCAAATCAAATCAAGACACTTTTTACATAAAGCAAGTCTAGACCTTACTTTTTATAGATACATAAAAACATTATTTCCATTAGGGTAGATGATAATGGCAATGATTAAATAAACTTCATATCTGCTGCTCTCCGCTGTCAAAGAGGGTCTATTATATTTTCCTAATTTTTAGCACTTTTTGCAAGAGCTCCATTTCCCCTTTGTTTTCCTCTGTGCAGTCATTTAAAAAGCCTTTTTCCACATGTAAATGTCTTCCCTCAGGCCATTAAACCAGGAACTGAGGGTAGAAAAAGAAACTTAGAACCTAAGCTGTTATGCAAAGTTGTACATGTTTGTCATAATAGTCGAAAATGTTACAGAAAGAATCTATTTCTCAAAACTAAATAATATTCTAGACACAATCACAGATCACAGCCACTGCAATGTTTTCAAGCATTACTTTTGCTTTTGAGTGTTTATCTGACTTTCAGCCGTTAATTACTGATATTTATAGAATATATATAGTAAGAAACAGCCATCACAGCAAACATTATTAGTTATATGTCATCTGAAAAAAATAAATAAAATTTCTCTAGCTCTGCAGCCTTAAAATGTGCTTACATGACTGCATTTTAACTTTTTGATTTATAACTGAAGTTATCTGAGGACACTTTTCAAATAAAGCAGGTCTAGACCGTAGTCCTTATAAAGACAGAGAGAGAGACAGAAGGACAGAGACAGAGGTAAAGACAGAAAGACAGAGACAAAGGTGCACAGCAACAACAGTAGCAACAACTACACTAATAGTATTGACATGGTATCAGCCATGACATGACCGCTCCACATTAAAGAATATGTCTTTGCCAATGTCATTACAGAATTCAGTGTTTCTACAATCAGTTCCATTCATTCAGTCACAGCAATCCCTGGCATTATCTTACTTACATTAAGATGTGTTCCACATTGACAGTATGTAATTAGCCGACAGAGCCTCTGGGTGAATGAAAGTGTTTTAAACCTGTATTCTTTCTAATGGCCAGTAGGGCCATCCATCATCCATAGAGCATGATGTTAATTTTGTAAATCATGGTCCTATTTAGAGTAAAATAGAGGATAAAGCAGGGTATGCTTTAGGGCGTGGCTACCTTGTGATTGACAAGTTAATCTCAGTGAGTCTGTGCAGCTCAATGCACCAAACTCAGATCAAACTGTCACACTAGGTAGTGCTGATCAAATATGAATCAGTATTCTGTTACTATGTTGACTTTTTCTCTCTTGTGTGACAAGTCGTCATTGTTTCCCGGGGCATCCACTTCAATCTCTGCTTGTGAACATTAACGATACCTGTATGAGTTGCTAGAATTATGCCGGGCCAAGTGTTAAAAGCCTTACAGTGGTTCAAAGGGTACAATCACTCCTTACCTGAAACATCTCCAGGAAGTGTTCATTTTCATTGACAGTAGCTTAACAGAAGTGCAAAAATAGATTTTTTATTGACCTTTCCAGGAAATGTTTTTGCCACAGTCTGTACATAATCCCATATACTGTATACACACACAACATTAACACAAGATAGACATCTAAACACAGAACATTTGTACATATATTCAGGTATTTACACGTAACGGCTACCGGGGAGTTTTGTTGAGTAAAGCTATGGCAGAAGAAGCAGAAGAAACTCCTGCCATAGCGAGCTCGTTTACAGGCCAATGATCTGTATCTGCGCCCGGGTGGGACCAATGTGAAAAATTGATTGAGGGGTGTCTGGGGTCGTGAGCTATGATGTGTGCTCTGCCTGTGATGGCTTTGCTTTTTTCATTTACGTAAAGAACGCTGCAGCACGAGTACTGACAGGAACGAGGAAAAGAGATCATATCTCTCCTGTATTCCTGTGTCTCTGCACTGGCTCCCTGTAAAATTCAACACTCCTCCTCCTTACCTATAAAGCTCTTCATGGTCAGGCCCCTTCATATCTTAAAGAGCTCATAGTACCCTATTACCCCACTAGAACACTGCGCTCTCTGAATGCAGGACCACTTGTGGCAGAGCAGAGAAGCTAAATGCCTTAGTGCCTACTGATTCAACTATTACTACCAGGTGCTGAACTTGCTGCTTTTCTGGTCCATCATCTGTTTTGGAACAAAAAGTGCATACTCACTAAAATGTCAGGAATCTCCCTACACTCACTCAGTGATGAAGGATGAGCAAGCCGGCAGTGTCAGAACATATTTCCCCCACAAAGACGAAACACCCCAGTGCTTCAAGTAAAATTTGAATGTAATTGTCTTTTTCAAGTAGTATTCCTATATTCAGTGTGGGAATAAATCCCATTAATACCTGAACATTTGTAAAAGAACAATCAACCAGTTTCATATGCAGGTCCCTGAACCCTAAGGTGGTCACAGAAAATAGTCTCTAGTTGTACTCAGCTATAACTAATCTCTTGATACTTTATTTTGGTCAGTTATACATCAACATCACTGTGTGGGAGTTCTATCAACCTTTTATTACAACTTGGTTCTAATTTCCATAGTTTTGTCATTTTGTCAACTTGCAAGATAACAAGCACACAAGATCACTTGAGAATCCATCTTGCCAGGCTTTAATCTAGCGTTTAGTTATTTTGCCTAAAAACAGTAAAGTATAAAGTCTGAAAATGATCAGAATCAGCTTTATGTTGAATATGTATGAAAAATGTCATATCATTAAATCCCAAATTCCAAGAAATATTTGCAAGGTTTTAATAACATTTTAATAAATTGGAATTTTCCACTAACCAAGTTTCTATTGGTTGGTAATAATAAAAGTTCAAAATTAATGCAGACTTATACCATACATATATATGCATAAGTGACAGTGTACCTCATTATTGGCGAGCTGGAACCATGGCTGTTTGCCGTAAGTAAAAATCTCCCATAGGATGACTCCGAAACTCCACACATCACTCTCTGTGGTGAACTTCCTGTACATGATGCTCTC